AAAAAAAAAAGGCAGTTCATGGCTTTCCTAGCTGTGCAATTGTATTGAAGTGAGGCAATCTAGAACAATGCCTCCAACAGAACCAGAAGCTGGCCCCTTTCAGTGACACATACACCACATGTCATCACGCAGCGCCAAATTGCATCTTGTAATAACTGTTTCATCTGGTTGAACTTCAACTACAGTGTAATATTCAGGACTAGATGAAACCAAATAGAGCTGCCTGTGTATTCTTGTGGATGTGGTCAAGAATGTGTCACACCATTGCTTTAGGTAATATTTTTTAAAAAAAGTCATTGACCACACTAAAGTCAGTGAAAGAAGTGGGTCTGCTTAATGCCCATGTGAGATTGCTTGCAATGTTGAGGGAAATATATTCCTAATGGTATATATTTATTCTGTAATCTTTTTTATTGGAATTATTTTTCAAAACATTGCATTTATCACTAAGATCTGCACCTTGTGTGCATTCTACACCCGGTGTGAGCAGGAGGTTAATGCTTGCATTGAGGTGATAGTCTGCAGGAGATCATAAAATCTGTAGGAGATCATAAAATCCTGACTCTCTAAGAGCAGGAAGAACACAGAAGTATTCCTGGTATGATCTGTCAAGATCTTAGGCTGCTGTTTTGTGTTCACTGTTCATCTACAAGCAGATGTATCATGAGGCTGATGTGGCTGAACAGGGAGCTTATGGTGGAGTTCCAAACAAAAAGGTAGTATAGAGGAGATAGAAGTAGTAATGGGCTATGGTGGAAGAGTTTAGGAACATTACTTTAGTATATAGAGGTAACAGCAGGAAATCTAAAGCTTAGATGAAGTTGTGACTTGCACAGGATGTTTAGGGCAATAAGAAGAGCTTCCACCACTATGTCGGTAGAAAAAGGCTGAGCAAAGAAAATGTAGCTGATGATGTAGTGACAGCAGACAGATAAAACTGAAGCATCCAGTGGTTTCTTTGCTTTCTTTAACAAGTTATCCCATTCCTCTGTGCTTAGGGAAAGTGCCAAAAGAGAACAACAGGCAATAGATGAGGGCTGAGTCAGGGACTGCTTGAGAGTTTGACCAGAAAACCCCATGGGACCACACAGATCACAGCCAACTTGCTGAGGGAACTGATAGCAAGGCCACACTGTCACTTTGGAAAGGTTATGGTGAGCGTGGAATGTTCCTAATGATTGGAATAGGCAAATGTTGCACCCGTTTTCAAAACACCAAAAAATAATCCAGGGAGCTATAGACTGGTCAGTATCATGTTGGTCCCCATGGAACTTAACAGAGGGAGTACTCCCAAAGCACATTTCTGGGCATATCAATGAGGAGAGGCTGACTGGGAACATCATGAATTTACTAAAGGTAAATCATTTCTGGCCATCCTGGTAGCTCTCTGTGATAAAATGGCCAGATTTATGGATGAGCAGTGGAGAGCAGTGGCTGTCACTTATCTCAGCTTTAGGGAGGCTTTTGGCACTGTGTCTCCAACAATATTCAGTCAATACACTTGCAAAGGGGACCCAGAGGGAGTTGAGGGCTGGCAGGAACCTTAGGAAGTTCAGCAAGGGCAAATGCAAAGTTTTCTTCTTTTGGGGAGGCAGAGCCTCCTGCACCATTAGATGCTGGGGCTTTGCTGAGAAGGCCCTCGGGAGTCCTGGTAGACAGCACTGCCCATGGGACAGTGTGCCCTGGCAGCAAGGAAGGCTGACAGCATCCTGGGCTGTGCTAGCAGGAGCACCACCAGGAGACTGAGGAAGGGATTATCCTCCCATTCAGCACTTCTTAGAGCACATCTAGACACTGTGTCCTTTTAAGCCACCTCCAGAACAGGAAAGACATGAAAAAATTGGAGCAAGTTCAGATGAGGACCCCCAGGATGGTGAGGAGGAGCTCATTTTGGAGAAGTGGCTTTAAGTGAACCTGGTAGCTGCCTGCCAGGACCTACAGGGGGGTGTTCAAGAAGATGCAGCCAGGCTCTATACAGTGGTATCTGGTTGGAGGACAAATAACAGTGGGCATAAATTGAAACAAGAAAGGTTCAGACTGGGTATAAGGAAAAGAAAAACATGGGAAAAATACTGGGGTTAGAGTAAATGGTTTAGGTACCCTGCTCCAACACACCGTAAATCATGAGTAGTCTGACACCATTTCCTGTGCTCCCGTCTCCATCCACTTCATGTAGAAACCCAAGGTACTTTACCTACCACAGTGAATTTCCATTGGCTAGCAGTGAAACCTGTGATCTAGCCCAAATTCGTAATTATAACAGGCATGTTTTTCCTGCAAAACACAGCTACAAGCCTCGAGTAAGTGCTAGCTCAAACTTGTGTCTGCATGGTGCAGAGCTGTACGGACTTACTTGCCAGGTTTCCTGTGTGGTACAGTGTCTTATTTGGCTTGGCCTATGAGCTAGACTTCTTGGCAAAATTTATTAACTGAGACCCAGTGCTGCAGGAATGGGTTATGTGAGCACCTGACCTTGCTTATGCCTGGCTAGTTTACACATCTGTGCTGCTTTCCTGGGCTGTCCCTCTTCTGTAGTTAGCAAAGAAGCAGACACCCCGGGTCTATTTGCCCAGTGAATGCAGAGTGGTTAAGGGGACTGGTTTTGTTTATTTTTTTCTATTTAAGAAGGGGTGAATCTGGTGTGGTAGGTGAGGTGAAGGATGCAGCAGGCAGTTCCAGCCTTTCCATTGCAGAAACCCAACACAAGTTCCTCACTTGCTTCCCTCAGCCGTGCAACAGTCCTTCCTCCCCACACGTGGGGCATGCTCCTGGGTTACTTGTAATTCACTGTCTGCTAACAGGGTAGATGAAGTCCAACTTCCTTCGCTGCTTTGACCATATTTCAGTCTAGACAGGTGCTCCTTGCTTTTGTACATGAAAGAGACTGACTTTATATGTGATCAGACTGCCTGGTCAAATCCCAGGCAGAGCTTGACCCTGCAGCAAAGTGTTTCTGCTCCTTACCTTCTCCCAGCTCTGAGTTTCCTCCTAAAGAACAAGAGAATGGCCCGTTAATGATGATTGTCAGCATTAAGGACACCTCCCAGTACGGCCAGGCACTTCTGAATTTCATTTCCCCAGTCTGGCAAGCATGTTTTGGTGACTTTTTGGCTCAGAGGTGAAGATGTGGGGTGGGGAGGTGGGTACCAGTGTGATTGTGCCTACCCACAGGGATGTTAGTATGCCATTTCTTCTTGACTTGTAAGAACTGACATAACACAAGTAAGTCTAGCAGTCCTTGACTTGGACTGAAAAAAGGCATTACTTTTTCAATAAACTTGGCCTTGAATTAGCCACTAATTCTTTATCATTATCCATTAATGATTCTAAAAGCGAAATAATTTGGCTTAGTGAGTTTATTACTATAGATCCTAAAAAGTGTAATTCTGCTGGGTGCTGGGGATGTCAGTTCTCAGGAAGGGAACAATTCAGGATGAGGTGCATTGTGCAAAGTGAACCTATTTGCCCAAACACTCTCACAGCATAGCAGGGGAGCAATGAGAAGAAATGTGCTCCCACCCCTGCATTCAAGGGGCTGAATAGTTCTCCGGAGGGTGTGTAGCAGCACAGGTAATTTACTGCTGGTAGCCATAAATGGTTTTCTGGAGGAACAAGTAGCTCCTGTGTTGGTTATTGCTCTGAGATGAGTTTGCAGCCAAACTACCAGCTAGGTGAATGGTTTGGAGGATTTTCCTGCTGAAGACCAGCTTGGCTAAGTATGACTGTTGTCTACTTGCCTTTGCAGTGCTGTATGCACCAGTAGGAGGGAGCCTTAGAGCTGACCTGCTGCACTCCTACCTGATGGGACTGCCTTCACGTTCAGCTATTCATACACCCAGAAGAACACTATGTGTAACTGGTGGCAAGAGCGACCTGCAGGGCACGCTTCTGCACTGTGAGTGGTGCCCAGCATTGTCCTCAGCCTCCAGGTAGCATTCTCATCTTTTCAGTCTCAAGTGGGAAAGAAAATCAATAGACCTTGCAGAGGCCCTGACATCTCCTGCTATTAGGAAAGAAGAGACTTTTAAGCAGCCCAAGGAAAGACTAAGAACAAACAGGCTCAGTTCTGAAAGCAAAATGGGTGCTGTGACCCAGGAGCATCCTAGGCTTAAAAACAGTCCTGAAAATGCTGTAGAAGGACCCACATGCGCATGGCTCTTCCACTATACGAAGGAAAGTGATCCTTTGGTATTAGCAAAGATATGAAAATCTGATCCATCATTGGCATACTGACATGGACAACTGAGGAGCCAGCTGTGACATCAAAACCTGCACTTACTGCTCATCATTTGTGGAGAGTCCCACGCTAAGTCAACCCACAACTAAGGTTGCTCAACCAGACCCGAATCTGGGTTCTTGGAGGATAAAGCATGTTTTATAGCTGCTTCCTTTGTCACAAAGGCACATGTAATTTTAGCATTAGACATCAAACCTTGCTGGCTACTGAGGGAGGGTATAATATGTTCCCACAGTCACTTGTTAAACCAGCAGTGCACATTGGTACAAAAGTAACTATTTGTGCTTGTTTGCTGCCTACAGCAATGGTTTTGCTTCCTTTATATTGTTTTCTTTATGCCAAACTTTTCTAGATCCTTGCACAGCTTTTGGGGCTCATCAGGCTAGACCTGCCCCATCTCCATCTATTCTCAGGTCACATACAAGCTGCACAGACTTGCAGACAAAAGTGCCATTGGTAAGTTGGTTCTTCACATCTCAGCCCAACGGGATGGGTGACAGAGTGGGAAGCAGAGATAAGTGAGTCCTCCTCTGCATTAGTGAGATCATGTTCACCTTTGTGTGCTCTAAATTTGCCCAAACACCCCAAATTACACTTAAAATTTAATAAAAATTCACAGTTGGTTTAGACCTGAGCTGACTTTATGGTCACTGCCATCTAGCAGTAGTTACTTTTTAACCTGGTGAAGTGAAGGCTGGAGGGAGACTTATCCCTCTTTGTCTGCTTTCCCTACAATGGACGAATGAGGAGGGGTTACAGCATGTACAGAAGGTGCCAGATATCTTTTGTGGCACATTTATTTTCTCTTCTTGAGGAATTCACAGATGAAATAGATGGTGACTTGGCACTCAGAGTCATTCCACTCTCCCGTGCTGAGCATTTCCACACAGTCCTGGCTGCCAGTGGAGTCATGAGGCTCCCCGTCCTTCCAGTTACTGTAGTTCTGCAGCGGGCTGCTGTCTGCGTACACAAACTGCCCTTCTTTTTCCATGTCGTTCATCCCAATGAAGGCTCGGAAGAGACCGCTCGTGGAGATGTAGTCAGCAAGCAGCGCGTTGGTTGCCTCATCCTTAGGCATGGCAAGTGTTCCTCCTCTGTCCCTGCAGTGCATCAGGGCTTCTCTGTAATTCTTCTCTTCTTTGACGATGTAGTAGAATTTCTCATCTGTCTCCCTGATGCCTGCTATAACTAAAGGCAAAAAAAAAAAATCATTCATGGCATTTCAGCAGCTATCAAAGGTACTTCAAGTTGATGTTTTTTTACACCAGAAATAATGAAAGGGAGAGAAGAAAAGTATTCCCCCCACTGAATTTATGATGAACAATGAGGACATGACCAGAGACTACTAGTAGGAGTGACAAGCACCGTGCATGCACTAGGATGAGGGCTCTTCAGTCCTGACTGGCATTTGTCTCCTGTGACACTTTAGAACCAGACGTCCTTAAAGTAAATTTTACCAAATCGAGGCATGCTAAATGGACAAATAGCAGTGTCTAACTCTGAATCACCCGTGTTGCTTTATTGACACCCCTGTCATTGCCATATTGCCATATTGTATGTTATAGATCGTGAAAGAGTGCCGTGGGATAGGAACACAGGGGTATGGATAGCTTCTGGGCCCTTTCCATGCAGAAGAAAGTCAATGTTACTGCTAAAATAATCCATTTTAAATACAGCTTGATATTCACAGCTGCTGTAGCCACCAAGGGGCATTGACTAGGAAGGAAACTGTGGCTGTTCAGCAGCTTTAAAAGGTAAATTTCTTAGGCAACACGTATCCTGTTGAATAAAGCTGTGCCAAGAAGCATTCCTGGCTAACTGGGAGTTGATCTTGCTGTTGGAAATGGCCAGAGCTTTGGCCTGGGGCAAATAACACTTTCCCACACAACTCCAGAGTTACCGCAGGTGCAGTTTAGCAGAGGACCACTCCTGGTATGGCCATTCAGTTTTGTAGGATTTAGTAATATAGATGAGAGCTGTGCCAGTTGGCCATAGAACAGTCTCAGACACATTTTAATTTACAGATATCAACTGAGGCCTAGAAGAGGTTGTGGAGCCTTCTCAAAATCTCTGCCATGCTGGGAAATGCTTTTTCTTCCTTTTAGTAGGGACATTTTTCACTGTCCCACTGATAGCACTGCCTGCAAATGTGACTTTTTATAACCCATGGTTTTAGGGTGCTGGTATCTCCCTTATCACAGGACAATGACATTCGCAGTGAGGGAAGGCATGAGGAGAGTACCATGAATGCAGCCCTCCTCCACAGCAGCAGCAAGATCAAGAGGTTCCTAGTGCTTTTCCTGGCTCTTTGGACCAGGTCTGCACAAACTTTTTTCCTTTCATTGCCTGAGTGGCCACTGAGCCTGAGGGTGAGCAGGCTGACAGTGCAGAGGCAGTTAGCAAGCAGTGCCTGGTTCTTTTTGTGATTCTTTCAGTTGCGCTATTGATCATTGCTGTATTGTATTTGCTTTTATTCATCAGCTGCTTGTATCCTTACAGGTGCAAGACTGCCTACTTTCTGTATGTTACTGCATTGCATCGCACAGTGAGCTCTCTGTCTTTGCCTGGGTGCTGCCACAGAACAGTGGTAGAAGAATGGCAGTGACAAAAGTTATGAGAGCCAAATAAATCACAGCAAATACACAACATAACAACCCTTACCATTCTTTACAAACTTGATGGATGTGTTAAGCCGAGCAACGTTGATATTCAGTTGTCCAACAACTCTGCGGTATCTTCCACAGTCACAGACCGTGCCTGATGCAATGCAAAGGACAGAGGATTTATCTGTTCAGAAATACTTGTGTGTGTATACGTGTATGTGTAGGGTCAGCCACAACCTACCTTCAAACCTTCTGGAGCCTTTTAAACATGGGGATGGAACAGTTTGCCATCTTCCTTCCACCCATATCAGTGTAGGATTTACACATCCCCTGCCCCTCTCATCATCAATTCCATCTGGCTACCGAGAACTGGCTTGAAGTGTTGATCACACAGTGTCACATCTGAATGTCGAAGGTGTCCTTTGGCACCTCTGTATCCATAAACAGCACTGATTCCCTAGACTTCTAACAGAAACAACAGCATCACTGTTTTCTCAGTGAAAGAGTATTGTGTGGTGCTGGAAATACGTTGGTGGAAGGACCATGATACTGAACTGCTGCATACAGTTGTGGTACAGCAGAAATAGTTGAGACCAACTCAAATAATCAGTCTGTCAAGTATTGAAGTCTCAGTTATATTTTCTGTTGGTAAACTGAATTCTGGCTTAGTGTAGGTTTTGTTTATTCCTCTCTTATTGTCAGGAAGAAAACAATTTGCTGATGGTTTCCCATAAAGAGCCAGACTGATGCTGCCTATGAAATGTCTTATAAATGAACACATCTGAACATTCAAGGTGGGAAAACATTCAAGGTTATTAGGACAGAGAAGAACCTTCTGGGTCATCAAATCCAAATTCTCTTGTAAGCAAATGTGTTGCTTACAGGAGATCTGACAACAGATTGTGCTCTGTCTACAATCACATATATTTTTGTCCTTGTGATCCGATTAGGAAACTATTAAAGGACTTCATTCCTTTGGTATTCCAAAACTTTATTCTAGTTTCCAGTATAAAAATATTCCTGGCCTGTTTACATATTAGTTTTTATCTTATCAACCATTCTTTATTATTTTAGCTAACTTATCCCCATGTTGTGAATGTTTTTATATTCATAGCCATCAGTCATGTCCCTGCCCAATCCTCATTTTGCTAAACATAACTTTTTCAGCCTTTTGCTGTTTATTTCACCCATTCTCAAGTTTTTCCAGACAAACCAACCCTGAAAACAGAGACCCAGAAAACTCAACCATTCTTCAGAGAAGGATGAACAGCATACCTGCTTTTCCCTTTTTTCCAGACACACCAATTAAGCCTTTGGCTCCTTTGTCACCTGAATAAAAAGGAAAATACATTTTCAGATCTCAGACAGTACATATGTCAGGGGAGCGTGTTTGAGAACCCTGTTTAATAATATATTAGTGGTGTGCTTCTGATAGGAAGCCCCGATGTACTGTACTGGCAGATGTACCCTACTGGTAGATGTACTGTACTGGCAGATGTGCCAAGGCAAACAAGCCGTGATTAATTCTGGTGAATGAAAATAAGGAGGACTCTTTAATAGCTAACTTACCGATAACACAGGCATCTTGAGTGCTGCTGGTTCCTGGTACTGCTTTAAATATAAACTGCCCAGAGTTTAGATCCCAAGAGGCTGAAAGCACTCAGAAAACCTGAGGGAGGTGAGACCTGGCCTCTCTCATTGCCTTGCAGGACACAGTCCTTTCCCGGGATCAGTAGTTTCATGTCAGAACAAGGGACCAGATGGGGCTGATGGTCGCTAAGCCACCGAATTCATGTGTGCAGCAGATTATATTTGCAGGCAGCAATTAGCACCTGCATGAAGTGAGGTCAGTAAGGAACAGTGTTTCATTTCAGGTGTAGTTCGTGGAAACAGGATTTATTTTCCTCCAGCTGCCTTCCCCTTGTACTGTGATTCACAGAAATGATTGTTATAAAATGAAATTGCTTCTCCAAATGCTATGCTAATAAAGGCAGGTGACCAGCATGTTTGTTTTTGTTTTCTTTTTTAAGTAATCTCAGCTGTAATTTGACAGCTGTCAAAACTCTTGGCTGTCCAGATCAAAAGCAGATGGACTATATCCGAAATTAGTGTCAGCTCTTCTTTTAAAAATTAAAACCTTCAGAAGCCAAATAATGTTAATACTTGCTCAACCTTGTTGAATGGCATGTTTTCCTGTGCTATTTATTTTATACGGTTGTATTATCGTTATTATTTTTAAACAGAAATCAGGAGCTGGCTGGCATTTTAATTAACATCGCTTGACAGCCTGCACACTAATATACTGAAATTTCAGGGTTGCTTCCTTAAGAACTTGAACGTTTAATGGTCAGTCTAAACAGTGACTTAGTGGCCTTTGCTTCTGCAAATAAAAAAAGGAATAGAGAAAAAAATCCACCTAGAAGGGAGCAATACATTATACAGTCAGGTTGACAGCTTGATTTAAAGGCTGAGAGCATTGGTTTACTTTCAGATAAACAGTTTTTGGATTCTTAAATTCTAGTCTCCTTTGGTGCTTGGAGACATCTTAGGAGATAGCTATCTGCGTCTTCAGTTGTCTAGGTACTTTTGAAAATTAATCCCTCAGGCCAAATTCTTTTGTTCTTCTCTGATAGTGCGGCTGGCTAGGGGCCATCAAGGGTTTATTAAAAAGCATTGGCTTGAGAAGCTCCCAGGAGAGCTTGTTCCACCCACTCACCTGCCTGTCTGGGCTGATGCTTTGGTTTAGAGACCACAGAGTTCCCCTTAGGATAGTGGATCCCTGCTGAGCTTTTGAGGCAGGTCTCCTCGTGGCAGAAGCAATATTTCTTCTTAAGTAGCTCTAAAAGAAAAGCCTGAGACTCTTTCCAGGCCGATAATTTCATGAAATGATTTTCCAAGTAGATTTGGAGTCTGCCTTGATTTGCAAGGAGTGGTTGTCCTGCGTTATGTAAGTGCTCTCTTAAAACTCCAAAAATCCTCCCCTTACCTGGCTGTCCTGGGCATCACTTGGTGACACCTTGCACACTAATGTGGATCACCAGGCGTGGCCTCCTGAGCACCAGCAGAGTATTGACTCAGGCCCTTCAGCATCTAAAGCAGAGGCACTGGTTCGGCTATCTCTTTCCAAGATCTCGGAAGATCTTGCTAGTTCCTTCACAAGGGCCAGATTTTCTCCCTTTCTCTTTTATCATCTCAAAGGACTGGTTTCTTGACTCACATAGCAAATTATTTTTAGCCATGTAAGTGATATATTGCACATGGGAAAGAAAACTATTTCAGTTAGCTCTCATCACTGATCTTTATGCACAGTTTTCTCTGGAGACCACTGGTCACAGCAGGTATTTAATGTACCTCCATACCTGGAACTCACACAAAACACATATTTACCTTAAGGGGAAAAAAAAAAAAAAAAAAAAAAGGAAACAAGAAAGTTCCCAGACCAGGACTTACCCTTTCCACCAATAGGACCGATTTTCCCAAGCATTCCCTGGTCACCGACATCCCCCACAGTTCCTTTGTTTCCTGAGAGAAGAAATAGGATGAAAAAGGTATGGATGGTTCCTGTCCTTTCTTCCCCAAGATGCCCTTTACTGCTGCTGTTTTCCCCATGTGTGGCCCATCCAAATGTAAGGCATGGACACAAAAGGGCTGATGTGAGTATACAGATGAACAGATTACAAGCTTTATGGTTTAACTTTTATTTAGAAAGTTTTATAAATGAAGCTTGCTTGTACCAGCCTGGGCTGCTGAGGTGTTTCTGTGAGCTGCAGGGTTACAGGTAGCTCCTCTCTTCTGTCAGGGAACAGCAAAGTGACTCCAATGCCGGAAACCAGCCTTTAAACAAGGCCCACAGTGGCTCCCTGCAGGCAGCGCAGGTTCAGATCGTTGTTACTGTGGGATACCTGCAGGGCACTGCAAGGCAACTTAGCAAAACTGCCTGTTCAGCTGCTCACAAACATCATATTTTTGTACAGAAAATACAAGCTAAAACTCCTAGTGAGTATTGATTTAACTTCATAGCCAACCTAGGCCATCAGCATGTTGCTTAGGAAGTGTTTCTCTGTTGATTTTTTCTCTACCCCAGACAAAAGCCTTGGGTTCGTTTGGGAGGTGAAGTACTTGGGCTTTGCTGGGAATCCTCCATCGAAGCAGGATTGCAAATAGGGAACTACTGGTTGTGCTGTGTGTGTTTTCCCAGTCGTTGGAGCACCGAAATAATGGGTGCCTTTTTGACTGATTGATAGTTTAAGTTCTAATTTCTAGAAGTCTCACTTTGCACACTGAAGTTAACATCACTAAGTCGTTTCTTAATTGGTTTGTTACCTGGTCTGCTTGAATCTTACCCGATCTTTTTTAAGGTAAGAAGCAAAGCCATATGAGTTCATTTAAAAACGAAGAAGGTTTTCATTATAACAGTAATAACAGGATGTTTGTAAAGATTCTATAAAGCTAGACACTTTTCTGATTAGACTTAAAATATTAGACCACTGTCAAGGAAGAAAGAACACAGATTGCATTATCATTAAACTTTAATGATACATTAAGCTTTTGAGTTAGGGTATGCAAACAAGGCTGACGCTATCACGTCTGGAGCCTCAGCGTGCTCTGCTGAGCTCGCTGTGAAGGTGTGGGACATGTTTAATGTGAGTCCTGACACTCCTTTGGCTCCTCGTTCTCAGCCCTGATGCTGCTTGCTCAGAGGAACTTTTTTTCTCAGTTTGGTTTTCTGCAGAATGGGGACAGCTGAGACTGAATTTTGTTGAGCATCCTGATGTATTGCCAGGAAGTAACTCTCAAAATTCAGTTACACCTAAAGGATAATTTCAGTAAGAGAACAGTAATCCTTCTGGTTGTACGTACGATTTAGGTAGTTTTCAGTCTTCTGTACCACACTTATGGTTGTCACTTGGGAGATCAGCAGTAAATGTGCTGATTTATTACATGAAATTTACTTTGGATTTATTGCCAGGTGTAGCTTCAGTATCTATTGGCATGAATTGCACCAAACTCTCAGAGCATTGTTAGGTTCCCTGATTAATATTTGACAGGCATTGTGAAATCCACTGGGGTGAGAGGAATGAAAAGCATTAAACAACACTGATGATATGCACCAGTACAGTTGTGTATGTTGATAGTCATATACCAGTAATAGCCAACAAACCGACATAAATACCTTTAGGTCCTTTTGGTCCAACTTTTCCTTGTTTGCCCACTTCTCCTCTATCTCCTTTTTCACCTTCATCCCCTTCCAGAAACATAAAATAAACCATCATGGGACATTTAACTCAGTGCAGTAAGAACAGGTATACATTCTCAGAAAGTAAAGTTCACTGTCAATTTTTTTCCTACTGATTTCTTTTTATTTCACATTGAGGGCACAGTAGCCATGGGATAAATTTCCAAAGAAAAGCCGATGAATCTGACCATTAGGAAAAGCTAAAAATTTTACCTTTGGGGGAATCTGTTCCAACATAAGGATTATACACCAACTCTAATTCTTATCCTTTAAATGCTATTAGTTACAAAGCAGATAAATAAGTGAATTGAATTTATTCAATAGATAAATATTGGAAAACCTGAGCACACCAGGGAGAAATGCCAAGGGAGACAATGGAATTTATTAATTGTTCCTAGTGACTCTGAGTTCAAGGTATGCAGATGTTATAGAAACAAGAGGATTATAAATGTGTTGCAATAGATCTTAGCATAGAGCTTAGCACTTAGTGTGGCAGAAGTCTTGCCTTCAGTTTTTGACAGGTGGCATGTGTTAACATAACAAATGTCTTCTGCAATTACTCCAATACTTTATTTTGAATTAGTCATTCCCAGAGTATCTGGAGGAAGTAAATTCATTGCATTCATTAGAGTAGTGCAGAGATTTCCCCAAATGAGATCAAGGTCCTATTACACAGGTTACTGCCCGTAAGTATAGTAAGAGACAGCCTCTCACTGAGCAGCTTACAGTTTGAAAGAGCAAGACAGCGATTAGTAATGGGAAAGAAGTGTTATCTCTTTCCTCAGGAAAGAAGCTGCACAGAATTTCATTTGAGATTATGCAGCAAAACAGAAAACCAGAGGTACAGCAGATTATTTTTTCTATTTATTAATTTTGATCCAAAACCTGAGGAGATTTTTCCACTTTTTTATTATTATTTTTTTTTTCTATTTTTTTACAACTGTTGGGGGGACACCTGCACCCTCCTGCAGCAAAAGACCAGCACTGAATACAGACAGCCTTCCAAAATTCCTCGTCTGTTCCCTACCATTGTCCCATTGTCTGCAAGACAAGAAGAAGGACAGAGAGAAGGACAGAAGAACAGCATTACATGACAAGACCGGTAACCCGTCTCACCAGGGATGTTGTCTCCAGCCCTGGCAGAAAGTGTTCAGGGTGTGCTGAGGGTGACTGCTCCCCATGAGCAATGGTTGGAGGGCTCACCTGACCCAAGGACCGCATCCAGGCAACTTGTGAGAGCCACTTCTTATTCTACCCTGCATGGATTACTCTCAAGCCTTTTAAACACAGTTAGATTTTTGGTTCCTACAATATCCTGTAGCAAAGAGGTCAATGATTTAATGTGCTGTGAAGTAGCTTCCCATGGTTGCTTTCAGATCGACTGTTTCTTTGGGTGTCCTCACTGTTTTGTGAAAAAAAGCTACCCACTCATTATTTACCTCCTTCTACTTATAGCCAAGACATAGCATATCGTGGGGTGTCTCATGGGGTGATGAGAGATGAGAAATGGGGCACATTAACTGCAGCATAAAAATGTAGCAGGGGGTCCTCTGGCATGTGTGTGTGTGCCACAAAATCTGTAGTGTTGGGGCTTCCTTGTGGGGGGCAGACTCACCCCATCAGTCAGGATACCCTTGGGGATGGTCGTCAGCGATTCAAACTGAGAATGATAAAAGGCTGAAATTCAGTCTGAGTGGAAGGAGAAAGCATTTGTTAGAGGGAGAGACAAGCAAAAACCTGACGTGTGTGCTGGTTCACTCAGGCACTTTGTTTTTAATTCCAGCTGCCTCAGGACAAAATAGGAAAGGAAAAGACTGTAACCAGCCAGAAGTAGAAGTTTTAAACATCTTTTTATTCTCACTGGTTCTTCAAAGTTACTTGATAAGTCAGTATGTATTTCCAAAAGCCAAGCTTCTTAAAATCCTGATAAAGCTTTGGGTCTTAACCTCAAGCTGATGGAAGGATGCCTGCTTGTACTGGGTACTTGTCTGGGGGTCATCAGACAGCAGAGCCAGAGAATTTGCAGTTTAATTTTGCTGTTGACCTCAGTGCTAACATCATTTATGACTGAGAAATGAAGCAATTGTCCTTTCCAAACCCACCTGTGAAACTCTTCAGAAAACTGTAAGAATCACTTTGCAGTAGGGCAGAAATTCAGAAAAGATTCCCAGAGGTTGGCAAGGAGCTTGTAAAATGAAATTCAAGGAAAAGGTTAAGAGCTGATATGTTCACGGTCTGCAAACCCATGCAGGAGAGGAAATGTGTGATAACAGAAAGGAATCAGGGTGTGATTAAAAGTCTGGAAAAGCTGTATGAGTTCTGACTAGAAATGTAACATGGGGTTATTTAACAAATGGGCCACGCTGTCCAGCAGGGAAGGGAGACTTAGGAGCCTCTTCACTTCCAGCCTTTACCTGTGCAATGAATTTCCATGTGCAAGAGATGCTGTAATGCTGGGTTTGGTGTAGAAACAGCTGAGGGAGTTGCTTTGGGCTGTGTCATGCAGGAGAGCAGGTGAGATTCCTGCTGACCTCCCTATCCAGGGGACTACCTGTCACCCTCACCACCCAGTCACCTTCTCTGTGTCTTGTGGACCGCTCTGTTGGGTTAAGGCTCTAGCGAGGCTGCTGTTCTCAAAGCATTGCTTAGGCACTTAATCTTAGAAATAGAATCCTGGAAAGAAAGTCAATAGACCAGCAGAGAAGCTGTGATTACTCCCCAGAGGTATTTTCTTCCAATCTCAGTTACAACATTTAGAGCCACTAAAAGATGCAGTGGGTTTTTCTGAGACTTTGGACAGGTGGGGCTGCCAGAGATGAAGCTAGTGTATGGGGCATTAGACTCATGGCTCAGAGCCGACAGGTGAAAAAAATAAAAGGTATGGGAAAGTTTGTTCTGGAGATTTTGAGGAATTAGGAGGTGTCTCAACTTTTATTGCTAACATCTCCTGTATAGTCCCAGTTAATGCTCAAACCATCTAAAAACCTAAAGGACAGGGAAGGAAGATCTATCACCTGTTTCATCTTGGCATAAAGCAGCCTACCATTTCCTGCCTTATTTCCATTACCTGGGAAAATGAGAATAATGCTAATTTGCCTATCTGCAAGAGGAGAAGGGAAATCCTGCTTTTCTCCCAGTATCACATCTGAGAATGGATAGGCTGTTGCAAAGCAAGGGTAGAAGCCAACAGCATTAATTAGTTGTACCCTTTCATTGTTAATCTAATACTGGATTGATCCCAGTGCTTGGAAAAATGGTGTTATAATTATAAATCCATTGTGCCTGCCTTTAGCTGTTGCGTGCAGTGATCATAAATTTTGGCAAGCAATGTGAACTCTTGAGTTATGCTCCCCCCTCGTGGTGTTACCGTGATTTGCAACGAGGTAGGAGGGAGTGTGAAAGGTTGTTTTGTACAGGAGATGAGTTGGCTTTCTGTCTAATTTATAATAAGCATCTCTCCTTTTCTTCTGGGACCTCATATAGATGGGGCATCCCCCTGTACCAGCCACTTCTTTTGTAGTCTGACAGAAAGGGAAATCTAACTTCTGGTTGTGTTCTGGAGTGAGTTTTTGAATTTTTGTACCACTGTGCTTTATGCTACATGAATTGTCTTACAGAAATAAATAAAATCTGATCCTGACCTCATATGCCTGATATGGTTGTGGATGAAGCACTGGAAGCCAGTAGCTGAAACATAGCCATTTCTCTACCTGTTCATATTCCTGCAAGCTGATTCACTTCTTCTGTGTGACAGATTTAAATTATCAGAATATTTAAGTTAATACATGAAACAATAAGTTGTTAGACTCTTCCAGCTTGGGACTGTGCAAGACAGAACAAAAGAGGAAATGATAAGCAGTAAATGGCTTCTGCAGCCATTAGAAAACTGTAACTGTAATTGAGCGAGAGAAAGCCCAGTCCTTTCTTCTCCTATAAACAAGCTCAGGGAAATGCTGAAGGTCTAATAATCAGCAGGATTTTTAGGCAGTTGAAAGGATCTCTGCCTCTTTAGAAGTTTCACTGAACAATGCAATGTTGAGAGGTTACATTTGGTAAGAATGCAATTAGCAAGAATTTACTGACCTTCGGGTGATTTATATTTCCTTCCTCAGCCTTTTGTTGGCGGTTTATCTGGTTTGTATTCATGAGCGGAGGAAGTTTTCAGGTTAAATTGTTCACATATGTTTAGTGGCTCCCCAAGCCTCACGATCAGGGGCTGACCCCGGATCTTGGAGAATCAGGCTGTAATCCCCAGGGATTGCAGAGGCCACGCTTATCTGGAGATGCAGCCCTAATCTGGGCGAGAGCAAATCTGCAGGCTGTGTGGGGTCTAAAGCTGGGAGGGGTCTTCTAACAGGGTTTAGGCATGTTTTTCTCCAGGAACACTTAGTAACCAGCCTCTTCACTCACAGCTCTGCTGAGACACCCTGGCTCCACACAGGGTTTTACTGAGACATCTCTCCAGGTGTTCTGACAAGCCATGGCCTCAGGTCAGCTGCAATTCCTGTCTCCTGACCAAAAATACTCCATAAATGTTAATGTTTCTTAAGCCTCTCCTTTACAGTGAATCAATTAAATGCTTCCTCTGAAGAAAAAGAAGGACAAAGCCTATTCTCAGTAGAGCCCTCCCAACAGTCCCAGGTTCAGCTCCCTTAGCCTGCAGGCTCAGCATGCTTCACAGCCCCGGGTACCTTCCTCCACGATCCCTGGGCATGCCCCCCATTTCAGCTGATAGAAGCTCTGCCTTTGGTGGGCTAAAGCACAGTTCTCCTCCTACATCAGATAGTCTGAACAGAAAAAAGGACACACCATGTACAGTCTGCAGCCTACTGACTCTGAGCCTTTGCAGCACTTGGATGCGTACTCTCTCTGTTGAGAAGTTTGGTCACCAGAGGGAGTCGCAGACTCCAAGAAACAAATAAATAAATAAATAACCAACACCAAAACAGTTTGTCTTTCCATTGTACAAGCATGTCACAGTTACGTCAATGGAAAGACTGAAGATTTCC